GCTTTCTTTACTTTTAAAAATGTAAGCAGTATTTCTAGAAATACTTAATGATAGGAAACCACTTTCTGGTCATCAATTTGATTCCCTTCCATTGTCCTAGACATCTGAAAAGATCTCACTTTACACTGTTTTGCTTTTTTTTTTTCTTTTGGAGACAGGGTCTTACTCTGTAGCCAAGGCTGGAGTGCAGTGGTGTGATCTCTGCCTCCAGGTCAAGCAATTCTCCTGCCTCAGCCTCCAGAGCAGCTGGGATTACAGGCACATACCACCAGGCCTAGCTAACTTCTTGCATTTTTACTAGAGACAGGGTTTCGCCATGTTGGCTAGGCTGGTCTCAAACTCCCGGCCTCAAGTGATCCACCTGCCTCAGCCTCCCAAAGTGCTGGGATTACAGGCATGAGCCACCACACCCAGCCACTGTCTTTATTCAGATAGCTTTTTCTCACCTGCTTCCTTACTCTGCTCCTCTGTGATATGAAGTCAGGTATGGTTTAATTTCAAGATTCAATATTCTAGTCATGAAATAAAACAAGTCTGAAATCCTTTTCCAGTAAATATCTACTCTTTAGACACACAAATAACAACTGCACACTACACTTTAAAAAATATTTGTTTTAAGATTAAATGCAAGCCAAAAATCACCATAAGGTGACATTTTTGTCCTAAAATGTAGTGCAAGCCAGAAACCTCCAAGGGAGAGACAGTAAAGAATAGTGATTGAAAGCATTCTATGCTTCGGAGGCAGTCAAGCTGGGTTTGAACCCTGGCTGTCCCCCTCTAAGTTATGTGGCCAATATTGGGACTTACTTTACCTCTTTAACTTTGGTAAAACAGGAACAACAAAAATACCTACTATAGAGGAGTGCTGCGGGGATAGACACAAAAGAATGCAATAAAAATGCTTAGTACAATGTTTGGTACATACTGAGTGATAAACATGTATTAGTTATTATTACTCTCTCTCTCTTTTTCTAATTCGAGAGACAGGGTCTTTCTGTGTTGCCCAGGCTGGAATGAACTCCTGGGCTTAATGATACTCCCACCTTGGCCTTCCAAAGCAGTGGGATTACAGGCATGAACTACCACATCTAGAAAAGCCATGTAGAATGGTAATCTAACTTTACTATTTAGAATTCCTAAATAGAAATTATTTACCTATACATGTATAATAATGTTTTCTTTATATATCTCATTTAATATTTTCTTGGGGAATTTTATAAACTATTGATTTTTTACAACTACAATTCATTGTAAAAATGATATTAGTTATTAAGAAAAAAAATGGCCAAGTGAGGTGGCTCAAGCCTGTAATCCCAGCACTTTGGGAAACCAAGGCGGGTGGATCACCTGAGGTTGGGAATTTGAGACCAGCCTGGCTAACATGGCAAAACCCTGTCTCTACTAAAAATACAAAAATTAGCTGGGCAGGGTGGCACATGCCTGTAATGCCAGCTACTCAGGAGGCTGAGGCAGAAGAATCACTTGAAGCCGGGAGGCAGAGGTTGCAGTGAGCTGAGATTACGCCATTGCACTACAGCCTGGGCAACAAGAGCTGGACTCTGCCTCAAAAAAAAAAAAAAGAATTAAAGTAAGATCTGATAAATGAATACTGAAAAGCAAGAATGCCCATATTGGCTATGCACAGTGCCTCATTCCTGTTATCCAGCACTTTGGGAGGCTGAGGCAGGTGGATTGCTTGAGCTCTGTCATTTGAGATCAGCCTGGGCAACATGATGAAACCCTGTCTCTACAAAAAATACAAAAATTAACTGGGCATGGTGGTGCACACCTGTAGTCCCAGCTACTCAGAAGGGTGAGGTGGGAGGATCGCTTGAAACCAGGAGGTGGAGGCTGCAGTGAGCTGAGATCACACTACTGCACTCCAGCCTGAGTGACAGGGTGAGACCTTGTCTCAAAAGAAAAAAAAAAAGAATATCTATAATTTTTGTTCAGACAACTGCAACTAGCACCTATTAATTACTTGCAATTATATTTATAGTATTGTAGATTAAATTGTCACTGGCAATCTCATAGGCAGTAAGATAGTCTTAATAAGGATAAGTATATAATTAAATGGGAGCTCTTAAAGACTCCTGGTAACATTTTAATTGGTTTAACCTTCTGCCTAGGAGCTGGCAATTGGTATTCAGTAAAAGCTATAAAAAAGTAATATTATTGGACCTAGAAATAGCCCCAAAGAGGTTATGAATGATGTTAAATTCTTTTTGTTGTTCATTTTTTGGGTAGCAGCTTTATTATTATATAACTCAAACACTGTAGAAGTAATCCATTTAAAGTATACAATTCAATGGTTTTTAGTACAGGTTGCATGTTCCTAATACAAAAATATGAAATGTTTCAAAATCCAAAACTTTTTGAGTGCCAACATGACACTCAAAGGAAATGCTCATTTTGGATTTTCAGACTAGGGATGATCAATTAGTAAGTATATAATGTAATAAAAACATTTCCAAATCTGAAAAAATCTAAAATTCAAAATATGTGTAGTCTCAAATATTTTAGATAACACTCAACCTGAATATTTAGTGTTGTGCAACCATCAACAGAATCAATCTCAGAACATTTTTCCCATCTCAGAAAGAAGCCTTCAAAAAAATTAGTTGGGCATGGTGGCATGCTGCTGTGGTTCCAGCTATGCAAGAGGCCGAAGCAGGAGAATTGCTTGATCCTGGAAGTCAAGGCTACAGTGAGCCATCTTCATGCCATTGTACTCCAGCCTGCAGCCCGCGTGACAGAGCAAGACCCTCTCTCCAGGAAAAAAAAGAAAAAAGAAAAAAAAAAAGAAAAGAAAAGAAAAAAAGAAACTCCAACATCATTTAACTATCATTCCCTAATCCCATGCCTGCCCCTAGCCCTAAGCAACCACTTACTTTCTGTCTCTATATATTCGCCTATTCTGGACATTCATATAAATGGAATCATAAAATATGTGGTATTTTGTGACTGGTTTCTTTCATTTAGCATGCTTTCAAAGGTTATGTATGTTATAGCACATATTAGTACTTCCTTTTTATGGCCCAATAAAATTCCACTGTATAGGTTGGGCGTGGTAGCTCATGCCTGTAATGCCAGCACTTTGGAGAGGCTGAGGAGGGAGGACTGCTAGAGACCAGGAGTTTGAGACCAACCTGGACAACATAGTAAGTCTAAGAGCACTCCAAATTGGGCCATGGAGCCAGACCCCGCCTCTAAAAGAAAAAAAAAAAAATCCACTGTATATAGATTTATCACATTTGATTTATGCATTCACCAGCTGATGAACATTTAGGTTATTTCATTTTTGGCTATTATGAATAATACTAACATCTGTAAACAAGTTTTTGCATGGATAAATATTTTCATTTCTCTTGGGTATGTATCTAGGAGTGGAATTTGCATTATTCTTATTGAAGTGAAAATCACAAGCAATTTCATAGTCTAACAATGAAATTATGCTACGCTCTCAATAGTGTTATGCAGAAATGCTACACTCTCAAGAGTAACATGCAGAAAAATGGTGACTTTGTTGAATGAAGACCATATAGTAGGCTACATGAAGTGAAAAAAAGAAAAAAAAAGGATACAACCCACTTGAAATCCTCCTGGGGCTTCCAATGGGACTTTCCATTCCCTCTTCTGTTCTATGGCATCTGTCCCCTGCTTTCACATCCTGCCTCGGTTGTCTGAGGGCCAGCCACACTAGCTTTCAGAGATTTTTAGAATGTCTCAGCTTCGGAGCCTTTTCACATTGCTTCCTCTGCCTGTATCATTCTTTGCCCAGTGCTTTCAAGTCTCACCTTAAATGTCACTTCTTCAGAAAAACGTTCTCTGATACCAGGCAAAAGGCCAGTGTTTCCAAAGCAGCCGGCGATTTTCCATCTTAATGGTTTTGATGCTAGAATTGTTTACTTGGTCAAATATTGAGATCCTTCTATATGCAGGGATACAGGGTGAAACAAAAGATGCAAGATTCCTGCCATCTGCAACCTTATATTCTAGGGAGGGGAATACATGTGAATAATAAATGTACTTGGTAATTTTAAATAGTGATAATTAGCTCAATGGTTATCCTCTGTTTGGACTGCAAACTCCATGAAGACAGGAGCTATGTCTGCCTTGGCTACTTTCAGTTTGCTAAAAGTCCGGCCACTAAAACTCAATAAATATTTTTTCACTGACAGTTAAAATAGGTATATAAAAGAAATGGGGGAAAAAACGGTACTTCTATAAATGGTTGAGATCTAGCCCTTCTCTTCTTTTAAATTTTAATTATTTAAAAATATGTAATACCACACATTTTTAGATAATTAACAATTAAAATAGCAAAAAGTTACCATTTGTACTAACAGAACCCCAAATAAACCCATTTACGTCACCACACACTCATTAAGCACCTGTTAATAAAGCCTATTCTGAAATACTCTGACGTGTTGGTTAAGTGGATAAAATACCCTTGGCGAGGCTGGGCGCGCAGTGGCTCATGCCTGCAATCCCAGCACTTTGGGAGACCGAGGTGGGTGGATCACGAGGTCAGGAATTCAAGAGCAGCCTGGCCAAGACGGTTGAAACCTCGTCTATACTAAAAATACAAAAATTAGCCAGGAGTGGGGGCAGACGCCTATAATCCCAGCCACTTGGGAGGCTAAGGCAGAGAACTGCTTGAACCGGGAGTGGAAGGTTGCAAGGATCCGAGATCGCGCCACCGCACTCCAGCCTGGGCGACAGTCTCAAGGGGAAAAAAAAAAAGTCCCTTTGGCGCATTGCCAAGCAGGTTCCTCGCCGTCAGCAGCATAATTTATGGTTTTCGCTGAGGCTTTGAGTATCCATGATATGACTCTCCCTAATTTTCCGATTTCTAAAACCCTTCAGAATCTCCCTCCACCCACACACTGTGGCAGCGAGAAAAACCGCATTCTATTTACACGTCAACGGTAAGAAGAGAACACATATTTTGCTAGGTCAACAAACCATGCAAGATCTCCACCCGAGAGATCAGTAGCCCCTTTCCAGTGAACCCTTCTAAGAGCCTGGAGATGAGTAAGGCTGGATAGAACCAAGCTACGCTAGGCTGGACCAGGAGAGCCGACCGTGAGAACCCTTCCCCCAAGCTCAGAGCTCTGCCGCTTCTTTCTTCCCCGGGCGCCTGCGCAGCGCACTCTCCGGCCACCGCACGCCTCCTCAGCAGAGCCTGGAGACGCTGACGTCACCGCGCAGACTGCAAGCAACCCTTCGCTCCTTCAAGGAAAATGAGTCCACGCACCTTCGGCTTTTCTTAGCCCCCAGAAAATGTCCTCCCTCCTTCCATCCCAGTGCCAACGACTTCCCCAGCCCGTCTCCTTTTGGCGGGACTTCTCCGTACTTTCGTTGGGCCCCGAAGGCGGCGGAGAGGAAGAGAAAGGGTGAAAGACCAATTCGCGTTGTTTACAAGGAGTAGGCGAGTCTAGGAATCGATCCGCGAGGGCGGAGCCGAGGAAGCCGGCACTTCTTCCTCCCTTCCCCTCCCTCCCCAGCCTTCCCCGCGGGCGGACGCGGCAGCGCCTCTGCCTCGCTTTTTCTTATTTTTTTTCCCCCCCTTTCCCCTTTCTTTTTTTTTTTTCCCTCCCCCCCTTTCACCATTTCCCCTCGGAGGCGCTTTCCCCGGGCAGGGGCAGAGCCGGTCTCACCCCCCGCCTCTCCCCGGCCCCCGCCGCCCTATGGCGAGAGGGAGCCCCCTCCCCACCCGGGCTCGAGCGGCCGCGGCCTCAGGCCGGGGGTCATCATGGAACTAATTCGCTGACGAACCCAGAGGCCGCAGCCGTGCGTCCCGCTCGAGCGCTAGCGCCCGCGTTCCCCGGCCCGCTTCCGCCTCTTCTCCCTTCTCAGTCAGCCCCGTCGTCCCGCGCGCATCGCCGCCGCGCGTCGAGCAGAATGAGGTGGTAACGGGCCCCCGGATGACCCCTCGTCACCATTGTGAGGCCTACAGCTCTGCCGGGGAGGAGGAGGAGGAGGAAGAGGAGGAAAAGGTGAGGGGCGGGGGCGGGGGGCTTGACGCGTCTCCGCGGCCGGCGCCGACGCGCTGGGGCCCCGCAGCTCCCCCCGCGCCACCCGAGTGGCAGCACCCGTAGGTGCGCTCTGCTTGCCGGTGACCCGCCCTCCCGCATCCCCCCCACCCGGGGGAACCTCGGGGCCGCTCTCTTCGTCCTCCCGCCCCAAACAGACCTGGCACCTGCCCAGTTGAAAACGGCCCTACTGTGTTCTCTTTAGGGCCAGTTTTTGTGTTAGCGAGTAACGTGTGTGTGTGTGTGTGTGTGTGTGTGTGTGTGGCAGCAGCAAATTACCTACTCTATAGTGCGTGTTGGAGGCTCGGCGAGCCTGTGTTTATACACAAAGAAGGGACACGCCCCCACCTTCAGCCTGAACGGTCCTGCGGGGACTCCGGGAAGATGCCTAACTTTGCAAAGCGGAGTCAATGCCAAGTGAATGGGGTGAAACTCCGGTGCTGGGAAATTCGGGGGAGGGCAACATTACCCAGGGCTTGGGGCGGGTGGGTAGGGAAATCCGGAGGAGGTGAGATTTGAGTTGTACCCAAAAAGCCAGATTAAATACCGGAATTTGAAGGAGGGCAAATGGGCCTCTGATGGAGCTGGGGTTCCGTTGCACATCGTTTTGGCAGAAGTTGAGAATTGGGTAGCACAACAGTGGGAGGCGTTTCGGGAGGTAGAATGGATTCAGACTCTGAACTAAAATATTTAGATTTTATTCTGTCAGTAGGGAGCCACTCTGTGTTGAGCAGCAGAGCATTACAATAATGATGTTAAATAACAACACTTGAGGCTTATCTGCCAGGCATTCTCCTAAGTGGCTTGCAATTCATTTAATCCTTCCAAGGCTGGTAGTAGGAGCCTCATCTTACGGATGAGGAAAACTGAGACCTACAAGATTAACTTTCTCCTTAGGCAACAGGGCTAAAACCCGGTAGCCAGAATTAAGTCTGACTCTACGCTGTGTGGTCTCTGACCTGAGAATGGATTTGTTGAAATAACTGCTAGCTTTTCTAGGTCGTTTGTGGCAGATGAAATAGAAAGGATTGGTCAAACAGATTAAGAAATAATGGATGGAATAGATTTAGATTGGTTAATTTGGGACCAGAGAATTTCAGAGAGATTCTGAGCCTCTGGACTAGAAATTTCTTAATACTGATGAAGTATCAAGAAATACACAATCAGCATGTGTTAGGGAAGTTCAGTAAAGTTGATCTGCAGTTACAGATAGTGAGTTTATGTGGTAATGTGACATCCTAGTAGGTTAGAATGGGTCTTACAATGTGTCTTGCTCAAGATTGGAAGCTGAGTCTGTGTTTTATTTTGATTGTGTAATACATTAAAAATAAACATCTTCCTGTGTATGTTTCTTCGTCTTTAAAATGGGCTTTATGGCTGAAATGGGGGTGTAGTGAAAAAATTAAAAACTAGAAAAAAATGGACTTACTAATACCAATTTCATGAAGTTGTGGGAAGATTACATGAGTTAATATGGCATAGCACTTTGAACAATAGGTGGCCAAGTAGTAAGCACTGGGTGCTTTACTTGTTAAGCTTTTTACAAGTGAAGCTGTTATTTATTAGGCATAATGCTAAATTCTGGAGATGGACATCAAAGAATTCATTATAATAGGAAAGGCAAGTCTTCCAATCACAAAGCAATTAAATGTAAAAGTAGAATTATGTCCAAGTACAGATGAAGGAAGGCAGGGCACAACTGCACAAATTTAGAGTCTTACAGACTGATGGCAACTTTAGGAAGGTAGGTATGAGCCAGGGGACATTTAAAGTTGAAAGAACAGTTTTCATACATCCTTGGAGATCAGGAAAGAGCATACACTTGGAATTGCAAGTACCTTTAATTTATTGTTTCTAACGCATAAAGTCAAGGAGGGAATGGTAGAACTTCAGGTGTCTTGTATGGTCACATTAATCCTTCCTTTCAGAATGGGAACTAAGATTCAGAACTCAGCACCAGTACAGGATTATTAATGGAATTGGTATGATGATGATAGTAAATACAATAATACATATTAGTGAAGTTGTTTATATTGTATACCCAGCACTGTGCAGCACTTTTCCTCGGAGCAGCAGGGGGCCGTGTATATATATCTGAAGTAGTTATGCTGTACAATAAGCATTACCTATTACCTCAGACATTTGATAAGCGTGGAGAAAGGAGAAGCAGCAGCAATTGAGCAAATGGGAGGAGAAATGTGAAACTGGTTTAAACTTGTATGTGTGTAAAAAAATGCCAACCAAAATATAGTCTTCTGTTATTTCCTGCTTTTCTAAAAAGCATGCAAAATTGGATGTGACCAACAATTAGGCTTACAGTAACAAGATAGAACTATATAGTTGTTTTTTAAAACAGTAAAATTGTATTTTAAATGTTCACATTTTATTTCTTAGCAGAATTTATTAATCTAACTAAATGTGTGTTTCACATTAGAAAATAGGCTTTTGTCAGTAAAAAAAAACCAAAGCCCGTGATTTCTGTATCATAGTATGTCTTACTGGTCTTGTCTTTTGTTCTCTTTATGTAGAACATACATATGACCCTTTACTGCTAAATATTTCACAAGAATAGTAATATTCTCTTATGGAATCACAGCGAATTTTTCATTTTTGGTAAATTCAGCATTCGATACATTGACTTGTGTAATCTGTCCCAATTATGTCATTTGACCCACTAATGACCTTTACACCATTTGTCTCCTTCCAATACAGCATTCAGTTGAGGATCAGGTATTGCAGCTTCTTTTCTATATTTGTGTTTATTTTCTTCAGACAGTTTCCCTCTGTCGTGCAGGCTATAATTCAGTGGCATGATCTCAGCTCACTGCAACCTCCACCTCCTGGGTTCAAGCAGTTCTCCTGCCTCAGCCTACTGAATGGCTGGGACGACAGGCATGCACTGTCTTGCCTGGCTCATTTTTGTATTTTTATTGGAGACAGGGTCTTACTATGTTGGCCAGGCTGGTGTCAAACTCCTGGCCTCAAGTAATCCACCTACCTTGGCCTCCCAAAGTGCTGGCATTACAGGCATGAGCCACCCCGTGCAGCCAATTTTTCTATGGCCTCATTGAATCTGTAGCATCCCCAAAGGTATCCCCCATTGTTTTTGTCTTGCAATTATTTGTATCCTGTTTTAGTTTTTTCTTTTTAAGAGATTATCACTTTGTTGCCCAGGCTGGAGTGAGGTGGTATAATCATAGCTGACTGCAGCCTCAAGCTCCTTAGCTTACGTAGTCCTCTCACCCCTGAACCTCCTGAGTAGCTAAGTCAACAAGCAGGCGTGCAACATCATGCTTGGCTAATTAAAAAAATTTTTTTGGTAGAGACAGGGGTCTCACTCTGTTGTCCGGGCTGGTTTCAGACTCCTGTCCTTGAGTGCTCCTCTCACTTCTGCCTCATGTAGTTCTGGGATCACAGGCAAGCACTCACCATGCCCCACCTTTTGTCCCATTTTTTAAAGTTTAAGGAAATTTTAACTTTTTTGTTGTTGTTGTTAGTTTTCTCTAGAGTGACCAAAGAGTGATTCCTTTTTTTTTTTTTTTTTTTCCTATTGATAATGTATTGCATTTATTTCTGAATCTTGAAACAAGCTTGCATTCCTGGAACAAATCCCAGTTGGTTGTGGTATATAATCCTTTGTTTATATTGCTGGATTCAGTTTGCTAGTATTTTGTTGAGAAATTTTGCATTTCAGAAGAAACACCAATCTATAGTTTTCTAGTGATGTCTGTCTGGTCTTGGTAGCAGGGTAATAACTGACTTCAAAGAATAAATTGGGAAGCATTTGTAAAGAATTGCTGTCAGTTTTTCTGAAAATGGTTGGTAGAATTAACCAGTGAAGCCATCTGGGCATGGATTTTTCTTTGACGGTGCTTTAAAAAATTACTATTTAAAAAAATTAAAAAAAATTACCATTTAAATCTTTTGTTATACAACTACTCAGCTTTTTTATTTCTTTTCTTTTTTTCTTTTGGAATTATCTCACCAGTGCAGGTTTTTATTTCTTAAGTTTTGGGATTTTTTATTTCTGGAAACTGGACTAATTCATCTAAATTTTCCTATTTAGTTGCATATAGTTGTACATAAAAGTTTTTTTTATAATTTTTATTTTTCTTTTTTTTTTAGTGTAATTTTTATTTCTGTAAGCTAGGTAATGATGGCCTGTTTTTATTTCTGATTTAGTAATTTGTCCTCTGTATTTTCTTGGTCAATCTAGCTGGCTAAAGGTTTGTCTATTTTGATCTTTTCAAAGAATCAGCTTCTGGTTTCATTGACTTTTCACTGCAGTTTTTGTACTCTCTACTTCATTAGTTTCCATTCTAGTATTTAGTATTTCCTTGCTTCTGTCTTGCTTTTGGAACAATTTACTTTTTTTTTTCCATTATCTTAAAGGTGGAAGATTAGGCTGTTTATTTGAGATGCCCTTATTTAGTAGAGGCATTTTAAGGAATTATTTCTAAGCACCGCTTCAATTGTATCTGATAAGTTTTGGTATGTTGTCTTCATTTTCTTTCATCTCAAAGTATTTTCTGATTTCCCTTGTGACTCTTCTTTGACCAGATACCTTTGTTTTAAAAAAATTTATTACAATTTAAATATTTGAAAGTCATACTGAGGGCTTTAATTGTAGGCAATTGGAGAACACGAATCCTTTGAACCTAGTTTAATCCTTTTCACGTGTGTGTGTGTGTGTGTGTGTGTGTGTGTGTGTGTGTCTCTGTCTCTGTGTCTCTCTCTGCACGTGCCTGCAATCTCAGTGACTCAGGAGGCTGAGGGAGGAGAATCACTTGAGCCTAGGAGGTGGAAGTTGCAGTGAGCGAGATCGTGCCGCTGCACTTCAGCCTGGGCAACAGACTGAGACTGTTTCAAAAAAAAAAAAAAAAAAAAGGCAAAAAAAAAAAATGATTTTAGACTGCATTTATGGTAAAATTAAAGCTAATTTAGAAGAGGTAAAATATTGTGAGGTACTATCAAAGTTTTCAGCTATGAAAAAGATGAATTGGTGAGCATGACAGCACCCTTCAAAGATGGGAAAGATTGGTGTGAAAGAGATTAGATTTTGTTGGGTTAAGGTTCTGAACAAGGATGTATCAAAAGAAGGTACCAAAACTCCACATACAGTGGGTTGGGGCAGGTGTGGGTAGAGTTTTGTTTTTGGTTGTATGTTTTTGTTTTGGGCCTCAGCAGTTGAAACTAGAACAATTGATTGGGTCTCTGTTTTGTCAGAGTACTGTGGTGTGGACGCAGTGAGTAACAAAAAGATGATATTGGCAGATGTGACTGCAAAGGAATTTCTTTATTTAGAGAAGGGTCTCATTCTGTTGCTGGGGCTGGAATGCAGTGGCATGATTTTGGCTCACTGCATCCTCAACCTCCTAGGCTCAAGCCTTCCTTCCACCTCAGCCTCCCAAGTAGCTTGGACCACAGGCACACACCACCATGCCTGCCTAATTTTTGGATGTTTTATAGAGATGGAGTTTTACCACGTTGCTGAGGCTGGCGTTGAACTCCTGGATCCACCTCAGCCTTCCAAAGTGCTAGGATTACAGGCACGAGCCACTGTGCCTGGCCAGGAATTTATAATCTAGTTGGGGAATTAGTGGAAAGCTGCTTTATGACATGATTAAAGAATCAAGAGTTTTTAAAAGAAATTACCTTTGAGATAGGTCTTTTTGGATTAGTATTAGTTCTTTTTCCTTAGTTATTTATACTTCATTGTCTTAGTATGAAAATATTTCATGCTAATTTAAGATTTGCAAAAATGCAGGAGTTTAAAGACGTAAAAATTAACAAAATCATAATTTAGTTAACCAGAGTTAATCCCTAGCAAGTTGAGAAGCAAGTAGGTAGCTTATGTGAAGTAGTACATAGGAAAGAGGATAGTAGATGGAGGTGGGATAGAATGGAAATGAAAGAACTGGTTTGCTATTTTTGGCTTTTTCAAATTTTTAAATTAAAAAAAAATTGGAACTCTTCTAATGTTAATTCTGGATGTTTTAAAAAATTCTTAGAGGCCATAAATCTGAAGTATGTAATATAGCTACATTGAGAAGCTAACATAGCTATAGTTGAGAAAGTCAAATCGTTAGTGAAATTTATAATGAAAAACAGCATTCTCCTACTCTAGGCTTTTCTCACCCTTTTCTTACTCCGCAGAGATTAGCCACCGCCAACCCTCTCCTGCTTCTCTTGTTATTTAGGATCACATTTTCAAATAACTTGCCCTACTGCTGTTTTTGACATTTCAGTTTGAGATACACGGATTTTCTACTATGAAATGTAAAGACGTGGCTTTTATTTTACCCTTTTCCAATATCCATAGTTATGTCTCCACGTCCTCCCAATGTAGTTATGTTGAGATCCCTATTCAGTGTTTTCACTAGTATTGTTGTATAAATATTGTGATGTATTATTTACTTTCTTAAAATCTTTTTCTGAAGTTAATTACCTTTTTGCTTAGTTTTCAACAAATCTAGCTAAACCTTTTCACATTCTTTAGCAATTTCTTTTTTTTTGAGACGGGGTTTCACTATGTTTGCCAGGATGGTCTCGAACTCTTGACCTCGTGATCCACCGGCCTCGGCCTCCCAGAGTGCTGGGATTCCAGGCATGAGCCACCACACCTGGCTCTTCAGCAATTTCTTAATCCAATTTTCTACACACAGTCAAACCTCAAGTCTGTAGTTTGCTTTTTTTTTTTTTAAACCTAGAAACCAGCATGGTGGCTCACGCCTGTCACCCCAGTGCTTTGGGAGGCCACGGCAGGATTGCTTGAGGCTAGGAGTTCAAGACAAACCTGGGCAACATAGCAAAACTGCATGTCTACCAAAAAAAAACTTAAAAAAAAATTACCTGGACTTGGTGGTGTGCATCTGTTGTCCCAGCTATTTGGGAGGCTAAGGCAGGAGGATCACTTGAACCCAGGAGTTTGAGGCTGCAGTGAGCCACTTCACTGCACTCTAACCTTGGCAACAGAGTAAGTGTCTGTCTCCAAGTACATACGTGCATATGTACATAAAACCCAGAGACATTTCTCTTGGACTCTGTTGTTTTGCACTGCTAAACTTGCTATTTAGACATGCTCATTTTAGAGTGCTAGTCATTGTACTGTGGAGCTTTCTAGGTTAGAACTGTACAGTAGAACTTTCTTCATTAATAGGAATGTTCGTTTTCTGCACTGTCCGATACAGTATCCACTAGCCACATGTTGTTATTGAAATAGGGCTATTATGACTGAAGAAATAATTTTTAAATTTTATTTAGCTCATATTTAAATATCCACATGTGTAGCTAGTGAATACTGAATTGGATTTTAAGATGATTTCATGCTGGAGGGGATTGTTTCATACTGAAGAAGTGGGAATGGGTAGGATTTAATGTAATTGATATAGTCTCTTTTTAAATGAAGAACAAAAGTTAGTGGCCCTTATCTGATCAGGTTTTTAAGAGGAATGTTTGGAGTAACTACTTCCTTTTTTTTTTTTTTTTTTTTTTTTGAGACAGAGTCTTGCTCTGTCGCCAGGCTGGAGTGCAGTGGTGCAATCTCGGCTCACTGCAACCTCCGCCTCCTGGGTTCAAGTGATTCTTCCACCTCACCCTCCCGAGTAGCTGGGACCACAGGTGTGTGCCACCACATCGGCTAATTTTTTTGTAATTTTAGTGGAGATGGGGTTTCACTGTGTTGGCCAGGATGGTCTTGATCTCTTGACCTCGTGATCCACCCTCCTCAGCCTCCCAAAGTGCTGGGATTACAGGTGTGAGCCACCATGCCTGGCCCTGGAGTAACTACTTCTAAGAATTTCTGGTAAAAAAGCCAGTAACAAAGTTTTGACAGTTTGAAACAGTAATAACATGTTTTGATCAGAGTCCAAAGGTTCTATCGATTACATGGCCTTGTTTTTATTCTCTATAACTGAATTTCAGATTTAAAGTGTGAATGTTTTCGATAACTGATTATTTTGGTATTTTAATATGATTTTTAAAGAGCTATAAAATCCTATACTGCCTCATAACATTCTTATTTTATGAGTTGCTTAATAAGTACTTTATATAATGCTGCACTTACTTTATAACTAGTTTAAAAACATTTGTATTTGATTTTGTAGGTAGCTACATCAAGCTGGGTAACAGACAGATCCAAAGGATATCATGAAGTTTCCAGGGCCTTTGGAAAACCAGAGATTGTCTTTCCTGTTGGAAAAGGCAATCTCTAGGGAAGCACAGATGTGGAAGGTGAATGTGCGGAAAATACCTTCAAATCAGGTAATGATTTTTCTCTTAAGAGAGATGAATTTTATTAGAAATAAGCATACTATTGCCATATATAATAATACCTTCACACTGCATTGGAGGCATGTGTACCGTTTAAAAATGTGCTGTATTTGAGAGACATCTCCCTGTTCTTTCTTTCTTTCTTTTTTTTTTTTTTTTTTAATGCTATAAGGTCTCACTCTGTCATCCGGCTTGGAGTGCAGTGGCATGATCTCAGCTCACTGCAGCCCCCGCCTGCCTCCTGGGCTTAAGTGATCCTCTCACCTAAGCCTCCCGAGTAGCTGGGAATGCAGGCACATGCTACCACGCTTGGCTAATTTTTTGTATTTTTGGTAGAGATGGGGTTTCACCATGTTGCGCAGCCTTGTCTGGAAGTCCTGAGCTCAAGCAACCCACCAGCCTTGACGTCCCACAGTACTCGGATTATAGGCATGAGCCACGATTTCCGGCCCCCTCTTTTTTAAAAAATCCTGCGTCTACTGTGGCCTTTTCTTTTTGAAACAAAAGTTAACTGTTTTTGTTTTTGTTGACCTGTTTTGTTATCTGAGTTACAGCTTTAGGAAGATCAGTTTGTTCTATTTCCTCATAATATATACTAACAGTGGGAAGCCTTCTTTAGATATATAGTTTATAGTTAGCCACAGAGGCTGAACACCTTCATACCATTGTCTTTAGTCAACAAAAAACCTACTCTGGTCAATAGTGGTAACGAGTTCAAGTGAACTATTAAGGTAATACCAATGTTGGAAGCTTTTTAGAAGATAGCCAGCTGGCCTGCTAACTACTGTTGGCTATGTAGTTTTTCCTTTAGAAATTTTATGTCATATATAGTTATTGTTCACTGTGAAGTTTATTCACTCTGAAAAAACTTTCAGAGTTTTTTCAAATATCTTACACATCTTTTTAGTATCTTAACATGGTGCTTGGAAAATAGAATAGTGGTCAGATGTTCTTTAATATGCATGAGTGAATGAATGGCAAATATGTAAGTTCCTCCTGTGTTGTTTTAGGTTATCCTTTGCTCATTGGTTTTTAAAGGGTATATGTCTTTTTAAATTTAATTCTGATTTTTCCTACTTATTCTTTCCCACAAACTAAAGAAATACATTCTTCATTTATTGTTACTTGTCATTATGCAAACTGATTAGTTAGCCTGAATGAGAAGTGTTTATATATATGATATCTCATTTAATATCTCATGTAATCCTTTCAAAAAGTAGGCAGTAGTCCCAGTTTGCTCAAGACTTTAGCTAATAAGTAGTAGAATTATAATTTGGGCTGGGCATGGTGGCTTATGCCTATTATCCCAGCACTTTGGGAGGCTGAGGTAGGCAGATCACCTGAGGTCAGGCATTCAAGACCAGCCATGATCAACATGGCAAAATACCGTCCCTACTAAAAATATAACAATTAGCTGTTGTGGTGGCTCATGCCTGTGATCCCAGCTAAGGCTGAGGCATGAGAATTGCTTGAACCCAGGAGACAGAGTTATAATTTGAACCTTTTCCTAAGGCAGTCCTCTTTTTTTTGTTGTTGTTGTCTCATATTTTTGTGTGCATGTGTGATTTTTAGATTAATTGGGAATTCAAATCATTTAGCAAATGTCTTTTGAGTATCTGCTATATTCTAGGCACTATTCTAAGCATTGGAGATACGACAGGAGAAAATAAATTCCTGCCCTTATGTTGTCACATTCCACTGAGCCTCAAAGCTTTTTTATAGCTGCTTGTAGGACCATTCTTTTCCTCCTCCTGCTATCTCTTTGAGTCAGCATGTAACCAACAATAATATATTTTTACAACATGGTCTTTGAAGGTGATAGTCTACCTAGATTGTAGTATATTGCTATATTACCACATAATCTGACCTATTTCTTTCTTTTTTGTTTGTTTGGTTTTTTTTAGAAGGAGTTTTTCTCCTGTTGCCCAGGCTAGAGTGCAATGGCACAATCTTGGCTCACTGTAACTTGGGGTGGCCCAGGTCTGGTGGGGTTAGGAGAAAAGATAGGAATGGGGTAAGGGCTATAGGGGCTTGAGTTTTGGGGTAAATACAGAATGAGATAAAGGGCTATAGAGGCTTGAGTTGTTTGCCAGAGTAACCCCCAGGGACATTTCTCTATTCTAGTTCTAATTCTTTTATTTTCTTCTAGGGACTGGCATTTTTTTTGTAACCTCCCTTTCTACTGTTGCTGTAACTTTTCTAATTTTATTTGAAGTGTTGGTGAAAATGTAAAAATAAAATATTTTTAAGCTTTCTCTTATGCCTTTTCCTCCAGTTTTCTTCTGACTTCCGCTGCCTCAACTAAACTGTATTTTGAAGTCAGTCTCTTGTTTAATTTGCATCCCCTGTCCCCCAATTTAGGACAGCATGGTCATGAAAGAATATTATACACCTATCAATCACCATCTATGTGTTTCTGCCATACTCTGCTTCCCTTACCATAGCACAAAGTATTATAATTTTCTGATTATTTGATTGTGAGTTTCCTTGAGGGGTATGGTTGTGTCATTTTTGTTTACTTGCATATAATAGACTCACAGTAAGCATTTAAGTGAATGGTGATTATCATTTCTTTATGATTCATTCAGGTACCTTACTGTGTTCTTGGCACTTGCAGAAAATTTCTAGTACTTTCAAGTTCATGATAATTTTGTTACATGAATTTTGGGGAAAAAGTGGAAACTGGTCAAAGTGGCACATACTGTCAGTTGTTCTCAATTTATTTTGCCAAAGCACTTTTGATTTACAAAGATAAAACACTGCCACAAATTGTTTATATACAGATGATTTTCAATAGAATTTTATAACTCTAAGGAATCTTAAAAACAGCTTTCCTAGTCATTCTCAACTGGAGTTTAGGTTTGCTGCTTCCTACTTTATTAAAGCCAAAAACAGAAATTTAATTTTTTTTTTCTGAAACAGGGTCTCGCTCTGTTACCCAGGCTGGGGTGCAGTGGCTCAGTCACAGTTCACTGCAGCCTCTCTTTCCCAGGCTCAAGTGATTGTGCCACCTCAGCCTCCCAAGCAGCTGATATCACAGGCATGCACCACCACGCCTGGCTAATTTTTTTATTTGCGGAGATAAAGCCTCACTATGTTACCTGGGCTGGTTTCAAACTCCTGGGATCAAGCAATTTTCCCACCTTGGCCACCTAAAGTACTGGGATTACAGATGTGGGTCATGTCCAGAAATTTAATTTTTAAAAAAATGTTGAACATAACAGTAACAGGTGCAATGAGATGCTGTGGGAGCATAGGAAGGTACTTAGCCCAACTTGAATTATCAGGAAAAGTATCTGGTGGGAAGTAACATCAAAATAGCTTTCAAGATCTTGATACATAATAAGGCAGGTGAGATAGAGAAAGGAGTGTGTTCTAGTCAGAAGGAACAATATGAACAAAGGAGCAGTGATGTAAAATAGCATAGCAGGGGCAAAGAAGAATCATAAATAGAAGTTACTATTCTTACAGCATGAAGTTTAAGACAAAGTGATAAAGGATATCTGAGGTTAGAGAGGGAAGTCATAGATTTGTATGCCATGCTGGGGAATTGTAATTAATCTTTTAGGTAATGGTGAACCTTTTAGAGTTTAAAGGTGAGGATGGTGTGTATTATAAGGAAGAGACTAGCAGCATGTGGCATATAATAAATATACAGAATATATATTAATAGCAGTCTATATTTTACCATGTTGAATCAATCCATTATAAATTTTCTTTAGGATTATTTGTTCAACTACTGAATCCTAATCCTATTTGAGCTGTCCATATGAGAAAAAAAGACAGTTCATCTGATGAAATCAGGAAATACTGTTTTGGGCTTTCTTTCTCTTTCTCTCATTCTTTATTTTAGAGAAATAGGAGTGAAATGAATTACTTAGGCATAGAACTTTTTGTAATGCTGTCATGATAATATTACTATTCAGTACAGGTTTGAATTGATTTGAAAAAGTGACGTTAGACTCAGTATTACTTTAGTTAAATTGAGTCTTCTTAAACTATCTTTTGGGTTTTAAAAAAAATTGTTACTAGTTTTGGCTAATGATGATAAAGTTGGCCATGCAGGAATGCTTTTCTTGGCCCTATTGTTAAATTTTAGTATATGGTATATGGGCCAAACACAGTGGCTCACACCTGTAATCCCAACACTTTGGGATGCCAAGTCGGGAGGATTGCTTGAGCCTGGGAGTTCAAGACTAGCCTGGGTAACATAGGGAGACCTCGTCTCTACAAAAAGTAAAATTAGGCAGGGCATATGGCTCACAACTGTAATCCCAGCACTTTGGGAGGCTGAGGCAGGTGGATCACTTGAGGTCAGGAGTTTGGACCAGCCTGGCCAACATGGTAAAACCCCCTCTCTACTAAAAATAAGTAATTAACCAGGCGTGGCACAATCCTATAATTCCAGCTACTTGGGAGGCTGAGGCAGAGAGAATTGCTTGAACCCAGGAGATGGAGGTTGCAGTGAGCTGAGATGGAGCCACTGCACTCCAGCCTGGGTGACAGAGCAAGACTCTGTCTCAAAAAAAAAAAAATTACTGAGCATGGTGGCACGTTCCTCTGGTCCTAGCTACTTGGGGTGCTGAGGTGGGAGGATCATTTGGGCCTGGGAGGTCGAGGCTGCAGTGTACCATGATTATGCCATTGTATTCCAGCCTGGGTGACAGAGCAAGATCCTGTCTCAAAAAGTGTGTGTATATATGTATGGAATATTGAAATTCACAGATACTGTCATGATCTCTTTCATGACTAATTGTTACAGTGTTTAAAATAATTATTCATACATAACATTTTGCAGATTTGTTTTTCTGACATTAGAGAATTGGTAGTTTAGAGATGGGAAAGGAGAACTAATATTTGAGTGCTATTTGCATTCTATATATGTGCTTTACATAAGTTACATCATTTAGTTATAACTGTATTCTCTTTTTTTTTTTTTGTATGTTTTGTGATTCTTCTTACAATTATATGTTTCTGTTATTGTTTAATGCCAAACACCATTTAATGTAATCTGTCATTCAGGGATTTTTTTTTTCTCCCTTACCCCACATTGTATCTCTACCTGAAGGTTGGAGTTAATGGTGTTCTTATTTTCATAGCTACTATAAACCATTGTTCCTTTTATCTCCCTAAAAGCCTCACCACTTTCATCAGATTATAACGTCAGCTACCTCTCCTGGGAATTTATTTCCTTGTTGTTGATGTGTTTGGCTGGCTTACTTAACATTACTTTTCCTTATTTGTTGTGGCATTTTAGCTAAAAGCTCATCTTGATAGGAATTTAATTTCTCTTGAATGCTTATCTGTTCATCCAGAAGTCTTATGACTGCTTTTACTTGGTTCTTAGGGATTTTTATGGACCCCTAGTCCAGAAGTAGATCTTAAAGTGGCCTACATGCAAAATTACAGCTAGATCCGGGGAATAACATCTAGTGTTCCATACCATTGTAGGCTTACTATGATTAACTTAGGAAATATAAATGGACTCTGATTACAGAATGATAGCCCATTTAAATAACTGAAATCAATAGTAATAAATGAAAGATACCAGGGACAACAGATGAATTATACATTTAGAGATGATGAAAAAATATTGAACAGGAAATTAACCTGAAGTAGATTACTATTTTGAAAGATTTCCATAAACACAAAACATTATTGTTGTTTTAATTTTCCTACATATTATTTGAATATTCTCCTTATAGCTATTTCAAACTGTTTGAAACTACAGTTTGAAATAGCTATAAGGAGAATACTGAATGTTCCCAACATAAGCAACCGGTTTTGTATTTTTAATGGTGACTCCAAAATTCAAGAGTAAAAGTTTTCTAATCACTATTGCTTTAAAGTGTGTCCCTGCTAAAAATTAAGCCTCTACTCAATAGGCTTATGGCAACAATACAACAGTAATGTTTTGTGTTTGTGGAAATCTTTTGAAATAGTAATTTACTTCAGGTTAATTTCCTTTTCAATATTTTTCATCATCTCTAAATATATAATTCATCTTTTGTCCCTGGTATCTTTCATTTATTATTACTGATTTTAGTTTTTTAAATGGGTTGTTATTCTTTTATAGTTCATTTATATTTCCTAAGATAAGTTAATGACTATTTGCTGTGAGAGAAATACACTATATTTTCTTAATCTTAAGAGTTGGGAAAAAATTCCAGAATTACTATCAGTTAATAATAATGTTACTTAAACTTTAAAAATGTTATATTCCCTGAATACCTAAATTTAATTAAACTGTGGATATTTGGTGAGATGACATAGTGAAAATTTTAATAAAGAGTAGGAGAATATTGAATATGGATATTAAATGTGGAAACTTTACATAAAGTTTCATATTCATCTATCTTAAGTCTGATAGCTTTTCAATAACCTTAACATTTTAAAACGTATTTTGTAGTATTTCCTAACCTTTTATGAGAGAGAATTCTAAACATACTCTTGATAATAGCTCAAACATTGTCTTCTGTGTTTAAAATTGTTCCCTTCTAGAATGTTTCTCCATCCCAGAGAGATGAAGTAATTCAATGGCTGGCCAAACTCAAGTACCAATTCAACCTTTACCCAGAAACATTTGCTCTGGCTAGCAGTCTTTTGGACAGGTTTTTAGCTACTGTAAAGGTAAGTGTTTTAAGATAAACATACACATAACCTCATTTGCGTGTAGTTATGCTAAACCAGAGCCTATTAGTAAACATTCTGTAAGGTGGAAAGAATTGGAAAACTCTTCTGGAGAATGATGTATGTACCCATAAGATGACATGGTGGTGTCTTCTGCTATTGTTTATTTTATTTTTTATTTTTTGAGACAGTTTCACTCTGTTGCCCAGGCCGGAGTGTAGTGGTACAATCTTGGCCCGCTGCAACCTCTGTCTCCCAGGTTCAAGTTATTTTTGTGCCTCAGCCTCCCAAGTAGTTGGGACTGCAGGCATGTGCCACCATGCCCAGCTAATTTTTGTATGTTTAGTAGTGACGAGGTTTTGCCATGTTGGCAAGGCTGGTCTCAAACTCCTGACCTCAAGTCATCGGCCCATCTTGGCCTCCCAAAGTGCTGGGATTACAGGTGTGAGCCACGTCACCCAGCCTTCTGCTATTGTTTAAATAGCAGAAGTGTTTCTGGAAGTGTTTCTAATTGTATTCTGTACTTTTCTTTTTGTTACAAGTATTCACTTTTTTAGCCTATGAAAGCTTTTATCTCTTGATTTTAGTACAAACCATATAGCATCAGCAGAATATTTAATCATTTTCTAACATATTGGTGTACTAGAGGTTGACAAGAAATCAGACTAGAAAAGTATAAGCCTATTATTGCACGTTTTTCTCTGTCACTACTTATTGAATATCCATACTGTTTGGCTTTCTGAAAAGTATTAAGTGCTTTCTATGGGCATACTTTGAAATATAACAAAATGTCATGAAACAACTTCAGTATATTTTTGTTGAATGGCAGCATACAAATAATTAGGTTTTATATTGTCCCCATTGCTATGTCATTGGTTGTGTCAAGTTAGTCATAGTAGGCCCTCAACATATTTAAAGCAGAAAATTAGCATTTATTTAATGGCAAGGCATGAAAGAGTAGCAAAGTATTTAAACTGTAGGCATTAGTATGCATAAGAATATGTAAACTGGGGGGAACTGTCAGTTAAATGCTTTATTAGGTATACAAAATAGAAGCCAAAGAATTATGGAGTGTAAGCCTGAATAGCCGCTCAGTTTCAAACTTATACTCTTAAGAGACTTACTAAACATGACAGGACCCAATAAATAAGAAATATGAAAAAAAATGAGATATTTGGCAAAATTCTCTAATTGTTCCAGAAATTTCTCCAACTTTGTTTAAAATGTTTAATGTAAGAATCTCATGATAGAAACTACAACAATGTATGTTCACTAATAATTTTTGAAAAATACACTGTCCAAGGAAGGACACTAACCTTAAACTTATCTTTCTGTGGAATTATCTGTGAAAGGTAGGTTAGATGTGGTAGAGAGGGAGGGATAAGTGGTATGGACTTGTTGCTGAGATAAAAGTAGGCATTTTTCAGATATTCCAGATTGCAGACAATTAGCTTTAAAAAATGTTTATATACACACAAAATATATTTTTTAATTTTGGGAATATTTATTTAAAAACTTGCAAATCAAGCTTTTTCTGCCGGATAGAAATGACCTTTGGTTAATTGGCTTTGATTGAATTTTGAGCAATGGAATGGATGTTATTTTTGTAGAATATCATACGGCTAGGATTATAATGTTAAAAGTTAGCTCTGGATGCACTTGATCTTAGTGTACTTTCCTTTCTTTCATTTTACTTCTCTAAAGCTTTTTAATAAACTTTTTTTCCTGCTCTTAAAAAAAAGTTAGCTCTGATCTGAAAAGCAATGATGAGTGGCAGTCACATTAATTGAATTCCATAGCATTGTGTGTATACCTGTCTCATCTGCGTATCTAAGTTTTTAAAACAGTTGTAAAGAGGTAATAAACCGTTTTTGAAAAATCACTAAAGCTGCCCTCTTCAAAATTTTAGGCTCATCCAAAATACTTGAGTTGTATTGCCATCAGCTGTTTTTTCCTTGCTGCCAAGACTGTTGAGGAAGATGAGGTAAAAATTCCTTTCAAGATATGTTTCTTTGGTGAAAATTTCTCTCCATTTATTAACTTGCTTCTTGTTTGCCAAAACAAAAATTGAAAATGAGTTTCTTTCTGTCCTTTTCTCCCTGTCCCTGTTCCCCTTTGCTTTGGATAGAGAATTCCAGTACTGAAAGTATTGGCAAGAGACAGTTTCTGTGGATGTTCCTCATCTGAAATTTTGAGAATGGAGAGAATTATTCTGGATAAGTTGAATTGGGATCTTCACACAGCCACACCATTGGATTTTCTTCATATTGTAAATATACCCGAAGTCTTTTAGTTTCTTATTTGAGTATGTAGTCTTCAGTAACTTAAAGAATAGATTGCTACTCATTTATTTAGTACTGATTTTTAGGAAAAAAATTTATTGATATTCAAGGAAATATTACAAATTAGTATCTATGTCATATCACTGAAGCTTAAATAGAAAACTTAGAAATAGGTTAGGGTGGGCATGGTGGCTCACACCTGTAATCACAGCACTTTGATAGGCCAGGGCAGGCAGATCAGTTGAGGTCAGGAGTTTGAGACCAGCCTGTCTCACATGGTGAAACCCTGTCTCTTCTAAAAATACAAAAATTAGCTGGGTGTGGTGGCAGGCATCTGTAATCCCAGCTACTCAGGAGGCTGAGGCAGGAGGAATCACTTGAATCTGGGAGATCATGCTACTGCACTCCAGCCTGGGGGACAGTGAGACTCTGTCTCAAAAAAACAGAAACAAAAACAAATTGAATAAGTTGCATCCATTTTTATATGTAATTTCCTAGATAATTAAATAAAGTTAAAATGATGTTCTTGTGATTTTCAGTTCCATGCCATTGCAGTGTCAACTAGGCCTCAGTTACTTTTCAGTTTGCCCAAATTGAGCCCATCTCAACATTTGGCAGTCCTTACCAAGCAACTACTTCACTGTATGGCCTGCAACCAACTTCTGCAATTCAGAGGATCCATGCTTGCTCTGGCCATGGTTAGTCTGGAAATGGAGAAACTCATTCCTGATTGGCTTTCTCTTACAATTGAACTACTTCAGAAAGCACAGGTAGGTGTGTTAGTCTAATTAAGTTGTGTTTTTTTAAAGTTTTTCTATTATTGGAATACATAGATTTACCAAACTAAAAGACATTTCTAATGTTGTAATGGCAAACCATTCCTAAGAGTAGACAAGAGTAAAGTATACATTTTAAATTTACAGGCTAGATGTTCTGTGTTTTCCTTATAGAATTTAGATAGTATTTTTAAGATTCCTTTTCACCATTTCTCTTAGATTATTTATCTTTAAGAATTCTAAAATGTTACTAAGATTGTTAATACCATATTGTCCTTTAGTTTTGTGTAAAGAAACTTCCTAGCTACATCTGTAGGTTTTACTATAATACTTCTTCACTTCACTTATTTTATAACAGATGTCAAAAACAAAAATTGGAATAAGTTGCTACAAGCGAATGATTTATTGTTGGCTAGTAAGTGAAATATTTATACCAGACTGGTGGCAGGTAGAAGCTACTTTTCTGAAAGAGGTTTTGCCCTGGCAGTTCTGTTATTACCTAAGATTAGTTTGTAACTTGTATGTACAGATCGTTATAAAATGTATAGGTTGATCATATCAACCACCTAAGTAAAATGTAAAGGTTCAGTGGAGAAAATTCTCATTCAAATGGAAAGTTGGTGATATTGCTGTATGTTAGCAACTACTTTGGGAGAAGGCTTACTGGTTCTATTCATGTCACCAAATAGAACTTACCAAGTTTAGATCTGTTGCAAACCATTTTCCTGCCAGCTGAGTCCATAAAAGACTCATGAACCTACTTTCCCTTTGTATGGCTATTTATTCTTATTTAACAGTAGTTATTCTGATTTGTTTTATTGGACTTTACTTAGAAGATTGTTAAATTCTAAGCCTAACATTTTGCAATAAACTAATTGTAGCAAAGAACTACAGTTATTGAGCTAAAAATTCAGAATATTAGAAAAACATAATAGTTGAATTTTTTTAAAAGAAAGTTATAATTGATCTTACAGCAAATATTTTAAGAAGTATGTCTGAAGAAAATGAAGCAGGCAAAAAAAAAATTTTTTTTTAAAGATGTGAGTGCTTCCAAGAATTTTAGGCTCTAGTTTTTGAGCAGAGGAGGGCCCAGTCTTTTCATAAAAAAGGTTGATGATCAGAGCAGCATGTTAGCTAGAGATCTGTCTATGTGGTATAACACAGGCTGCTTTACATTTTCAAGGGATATCTTTTAATTGTCTTAGATTGAAATAATTAAATGCTATAATGAGAATAAATCCTAGGAGGTAGTTCCTATTTAGTGAGAATTTTTAGAAATTATGATAAACCCCATTTAAATGAATGACACAGAAAATTTACTTTGCCCACCATGGAGTGTTAGAAAGAAAAGTTGAATATTAATCACTCACATTAGACTGTGAAGTAGAGGAATAGGGTTACTAGAAAACCTCCTATATTACATTATTTTTATTGGAACAAATGCATCTCTCTTAATGCCTTCTGACTTGGTCTCTGTGCTTATTCTCAAGGTAGTACAGAAAAGATTGCTATAGAAAGTGTTAGTGTCAGAGGACAGATTTTGAAGCATAAATAATAATGTTGTAAAAAGCATGTGTATTCTGTAGCTTTCAGATCATGTTCTCCTAGTGAAAAACACTGGAAAACCTCCTGATTCTCCTTAGTAAGTTTTCTGGTGCTAGAGGAAGAATATAGGCACTGAAACTTTTTTTTTCTCCTTAGCTGAAGGAGAATTACAGACCTGGGATTTGACAGAATCTTTGGAGAAATTATTCAGCTTCTTTATAGCTCCAGTGTAGGGAACTGGAGACTTTCTTAGAGACTGTGTAGAGCCACTTAGTAGTGATTTAAAAGAACCAGTGCTTTTTTTTGATACCACACAAACCTTAAAAATTCTAGTTCAGTGGTTTTCATAATTGGTTTTAAAAGTGGAACCCTTTCCCAGTCCTCCTTCCCCCAAGAAAATCTTGTACACACACAAATTCCAGAATATAGAATAGAAAAGTAGAGCTATACTTGTGTTTAAGGGCAGAGTGCCACTCAACATGGCCTTTTCCCTTCCGTAGCTGAAGATTTACATATGTAGTGTAGGTTTAGATTATATTATTTAGGTAGTGTTTGGACGTAATTTGAAAACCACTATTCCAATCCTCTCATATACCTATGTTAATAGTTATATTCCAAAAACATTTATCGAGAAATCTTTGTTTACACATTGGAAATAGTGAATTTTTTTTTTAAAAAGAGATTTGCCTCATGTAGTATTTAAGTTGCGGTGAGGAAGACAGTGAACAAAAGAAAAGTCATAAATCTTGGTAGAGACTTTGGGACTTGTTCTTGCAGTTCTGTTCTAACACTGACCAATGTGGTCTAAACATGGATGGCTCCTAGTTCTTTAGGACTCATTTCTGTTTTGGCTAAGTTTCCTGTGTTCGGGTAAGAATACCAGGGCTTAGGTCTTTGTGATTAGACCATGACAAGGCCACAATATCAGATACTCTTCCTAGTTTTCTGGTTTTAGTATAGGAAACTTGCATCAGATTGATGAGATCATGCCAAAATATTTGTGACATGATTCCCAGTGTCTTGGTTTGAGGAGAGTCTATCACAGACATACCGTGCTGTGTGCAGGCCACTATCGGTAGTTCTGCCTGAGCCCCCTCTTTGAGACAAAGCATGGTGAGTGTTCCCAGGTTTGAAAGGCAAACTTCTTTTGTCCCTCTTAACCTCCCCACAGCTACACTCCCTTAAGCTCTTGCGCCACCTGTTGATCACCATTCTGGGATGGCAAACGTCTTTCTCTCCTTACCCTTCTTCTACCCGTGTTCTGTTGTGTGGTTGCGCTCACGTCCTCCTCTTTCTGATGCGGCCCACCCTGATAGACTCAGGCTGTTAACTTTGCCTAGAGTGGTGGTCTTTGTTTTTCCTAGCTGGGCAGTAGTCAAAGAACATGCTCTAGTTTAAAACTAAAGTAGGTACAGCCATAAAACAACAAAATCATGTCCTTTGCGGCACCATGGATGCAGCTGGAGGCCATTATCCTAAGTGAATTAACACAGGAAGAGGAAACCAAATATCACACATTCTCACTTAGAAGTGGGAGCTAAACATGGGGTACACACAGATATAAAGATGGCAATAAGATAATGAGATATTTGTGTTATTATAACACAAATAGAAAAGACCTTAAGATAATAACATAAAGATGGCCGTAGAAACTGGGAACTACTTGGGGGAGAAGGAGGGGAGCAAGGGTTGAAAAACTATTGGGTACTGTGCTCACTGCCTGGTTGACAGGATCACTTATACTCCAGACCTCAGCATTATGCAATATATGCACCTAGGTAATAAACCTGCACATGTACCCCCTGAATTTAAAAGTAGGGGCAAAAAAGCAAATTAAAAACTGGCTGGCCGTGGTGGCTCATGCCTGTAATCCCAGCACTTTGGGAGGCTGAGGAAGGCAGATCGCCTGAGGTTGGGATTTCGAGACTAGCTTGACCAACATGGAGAAGCCCCGTCTTTACGAAAAATACAAAATTAGCCAGGCATGGTGGCATATGCTTGTAATCCCAGCTACTCAGAAGGCTGAGGCAGGAGAATCATTTGAACCTGGGAGGCGGAGGTTGCAGTGAGCCGAGTTAGTGCCCTTGCACTCCAGCCTGGGCAACGAGCAAAACTGTCTCAAAAGAAAAAAACTAGAGTAGGGAGTTAAAGAAGCAGACCCCATGAGTCTCCTGGTTCTTTTTGAAGGTGGCTATGATCAGACTACTCCAGCTGGTTGTTCTCAGTGCTTTTTGCTATTCACCAAAGCTGGATCCATCTGGACCTACCATTTATGTCATTTATTGTTAAATAATAAATATTCTCTTGACACTTCATAGTTAGAGTTCATTTTAAGTCCTTTGTACCAACTCTGTTAGAGGACTTGTCTGTTGAGAGTTTTGGTAGTTCCAGTATATGTGTTTGTTTTGTTTCTTCCACTGGATCTCAAGAAGGAACAAATGATTTTGGCTTTTTATAGAACAAATTCAGATTGTACTAGATTAGTGGGAATTTATGTTATTTTGGACAAAGGACTTACTTGGGACTTGGGTGGAAGTGGAGTTAATATAGATGGTTTTGTTTTGAATAATTTCTAAGGTCTTTTCTAGCTCTATCATTTCTTGTCAGTCTTCCACCTCTAAAATATAACTCTCTATTTACTTAGTTTTTTCATGCAGAAAGATTATAGTGACATAGTCTTCCTCTTACTTAAATAGATCTTTTTTTAGGATTCTACCATGGTATTGATTCTGCCATGGCATTAGAGTGACCAAGGCATTACAGTATTTGTGGTATTTTTAGTTTTCTGGCCAATAAATATCATTCATTTGCTAAAGAACATTTCATTAAATGAGGTACAGTTAGCTGTTCATATCCGTGAGTTTGGCATCTGAATTCGACCAACCGTGTATTGAAAATATTTAGGAAGAAATTTCACAGGTCCAAAAAACAAACCTGGAATTTGTCACATATGAGTATTACACTGAATCCACACAGATGAAGTGATATGAAGGCATTCTATTAGGTATTACAAATAATCTAGGGATTTTTTTAAAACAGGGCCATGTGAGTGGGTTATATGCAAATAGTACACTATTTTATATAAGAGACTTTAGCATGTTTGGGTTTTGTTACCTGTTGGGAGATCCTAGAACTAATCCCCCATTAGTTAGTTACTGTGGGATAACTGTACTTATTTTTTAGAAATAATTTCTGTACTATAGCCCCTTTTTCATTTCCCAGTTTCTTTCATTTCTTTTTTGTAGGCTTTTAAAAATATTTGCAGAAGCTCCATCCTTTCTCTGTGCTTTGTTCCAATGTCTTTAGCATATTTCAGCTTGTTCTGCATCCCTGGGATACATGATAAGACCTAGCCTAAATATAAGCTTGATAGTTAGGGACTACCTTAAGTGTTATGTAATTCTTTTTCTTTTAAGGGAGGAAAAAAATTTCTAATACTAGTGCGTCTTACCCATAGTATGTTATCTAGTGGCTTTCAAACTAGGGAAAAAAATCAGTGAACAAAATGGTAGCTGCTAAAATCTGCCATTTTCTTGTGTATTTCTTACAGTTTCAGTTATTTTGCATTTGTATTATACAATGACTAACATCAGCCTTTTACCATTCTTTCCTCTGGTATTTTTCAGTAACAATGAATATATTTAGAGATAAAAATAATTTTGTAACCAAGTGTGTTCTTACAGTGCTTTATTTTCCTCTGTTTTCTCTGTGGTGTTGCAGTCACGGTGTGTGCTACAGATTCTATGAGGATGAATAAGACTTGGTCCAGAAATGTCCAAAATACCCAAAACTGGAAAAAAGTGATCCCTGATAGTTAAATGGTTAAGATAGGCTTCCTGAAGGTCATGGTATTTAGCCTGGAAGGAATGGGCAGTACAATTTGAACAGGTAGAAATAAGATGATTAAGGGTAAAGTAAGAAAGGGGAAGATTTGTGCATCATAAAGAGCAGGACTGTTTTGCTAGTAAGAGTGTAGACCACAAGTTGAGGGTATGCTAGGAAATAAGGCTAGAAAAGAAGGTTGGGGTCTGATTATGGAATTCTTACTAAACCAAGGAGTTTAGCTTATTTTTGATAGGCATTGGGGTGCCACTGAAGAGAGTTGGAGAGGAATGTATGATGCTAACTAAGGTTATTTTGACAGTGCTATAATTATTGGGAACATGAGGCAGAAAGACACTTTACTACAGGTAATAATTTGAAGGCCTTCAATGTATAGTCATTGTGCAAGAAACTTAAGGATCAAAAGATGAATATAATACAATGCCTGCATCTTCGGTCTTGTAGTCTATAATGGAAAGGCTAAATGGTTAAATAGATTATTATAATGAAATGTGGTAAATATGTTAAAAGAGTTTAGTGTCTATGTTTTGAGATAGAGTCTTGCTCTGTCTGTTGGCCTGGCTGGAGTGCAATGGCTTGATCTCAACTCACTGCAACCTCTGAAGCCATTCTGATGCCTTAGCCTCCTGAGTAGCTGGGATTACAGGCATGTACCACTGCATCCAACTAGTTTTTTGTGTTTGCAGTAGAGAAGGGGTTTCGCCTTGTTAGCCAGGCAGGTCTTGCACTCCTGGCCTCAAGCAGTCACCCGCCTTGGCCTGCCAAAGTGCTAGGATTATAGACATGAACCACCACACCTGGCCATAAATATGTTAAAAGGTTGATATAAAACAGATGACTGCGGCATTTAGGTTGTTTGCGGTGTTGAGGGAGTGAGGGATAATTCCAGAAAGGATTAATAATTGTCCTTAAGGGTAAGGAGGAATTAGCAAAACTCCCAAATTAAAAACTTTACCCAAACATTTCATCTTAGTGTTGAGTCTATATTTAATATAAAATACTAAATTTTTCATTTACTGCTTTAAAATTCTTAGCTTCCCTCCTTATCCCTGATTTACAATTTTTTTTTTCTTTCGGTCTTCATAAATTCATAATGAATGTGTTTATCAGTACTTTGGACTCCACTGGAAAAAAATTTAGAAGAGGCCAAGAGGGTATGATGAAGGGCCTTCTAGAGAGGGGGAATAGACTGAAAAAAAATAAATAAATAAAGCAGACATTGGATATATAGCAGTGAACAAGAAAGTAGTTTCTGCTCTCATGTAAATGTTCAGCATACTGTTGCAAATATAGAACTCAAGTTCCAAAGATATTTATAGTAGAAATACAGATTTGGACCAAATTTCTAAGATCATGATAATGGATGGGTAGGCCAGATAAATAGATGAGTATGAAGTAGAAGATGTAGGGAGAGAAAAGACTCAGCAGGGACAAAAAGCACAGGGAGGAAAAATGGCCAGCAGAGATAACAGAGCAGCCTATGTTAATTAATGATCAGCTGTGGTGTTTTTTTTTCCCCCCTCCGGCCCAGATGGATAGCTCCCAGTTGATCCATTGTCGGGAGCTTGTGGCACATCACCTTTCTACTCTGCAGTCTTCCCTGCCTCTAAATTCCGTTTATGTCTACCGTCCCCTCAAGCACACCCTGGTAACCTGTGACAAAGGAGTGTTCAGATTACATCCCTCCTCTGTCTCAGGCCCAGACTTCTCCAAGGACAACAGCAAGCCAGAAGTGCCAGTCAGAGGTACAGCAGCCTTTTACCATCATCTCCCAGCTGCCAATGGGTGCAAGCAGATCTCTGCTAAACGCAAAGTAGAGGAAATGGAAGTGGATGACTTCTATGATGGAATCAAACGGCTCTATAATGAAGATAATGTTTCAGAAAATATGGGTTCTGTGTGTGGCACTGATATATCAAGACAGGAGGGACATGCTTCTCCTTGTCCACCTTTGCAGCCTGTTTCTGTCATGTAGTTTGAACAAGAGTTACCTTTGAGTGTAAACTAAGGTAGACTACTCTGGGAATAAGAACATGGAAAGTGAGGAAAGGCTGTAGAAGGAAATATACCTTAACAGGCTGATTTGGAGTAAGCCAGAAAAAAAAAAACAACTCATTATTTATGTGGCTAATTATAATTCAACATTATTTAAGCACATAAAGACCACAAAAAAAAAAAAAAAAACTGAAAGATCCAAACTTTTTTTAAACTTAAAAAAATCACTTTGTAGTATGTCAGTCGCACTTTTTTTCTGCCATAATGTAATGTAGCTTGCCCCGTCAAAAATTCAGTTAAAATTAATAGCCAGCAAACCTGTTTCCCCCTCAGCATCCTGATTTAATTTTCCCATTACTTTTGCTTGCTTCTCCATTTAATAGTTAGTGAACTTTATGCATGTTGATCTGTATTCTGATTTTCACTGAACAGGAAACCCCAAAATTATTTTTTAGCAATTGAATGAACAAATTATTTTGGTGTGACAGCCATGATTCAAGTTCCAATTAGTTTGAAAAGGGTATTTTGGAATTGTCTCATATTAATGAGAAGGAGCAACAGAAAAAGTTCCCATATTACCAAATTGATTTAAAATTATGGTTTTCATTTTTGTTTACCTTAAAGTGATGCTTAAAAGTTGCATTTAATTAGGACACTTAGATTTGTTGAAAGCATTTTTGATATTTGTATAAAAGATTTGTGATAAAGTTAATATATCCTGGTGCTCACCAAAGAAACATGTATGTAACAACTGAAATTAGATTTTTGTAACTGATTAGTTTTCACTCATTTATAATCAGTAGGAGAGACTGTCTAGATGTTGGGGCAGCTCTATGATTTGAGTCTGTAACATGTCATAACTGAATTAAGTACCCTAGTTTTATGTTCAGCTGTTAGAACTTACTCCCCCTACCTCCCCAGGTTACCTATCTCTCTTAATGACTTCTGGATCCTGAGCTCCCTTTGCAGTCTGAAAAAGGTATTGCAGTCAGAACTGTGTACTGATGATAAAAGTCTCTGGTAGCAATAAAAAGTTGTCCTTAACTTTTGTTTCTGTGACTTTTTTCTGGTTGTGAAGAGGTACAGGTTCTTGATTGGCTAGGCACTGCTATTTCAACTAGAGAAAACAATGGAAAGACTAAGAATGTACTTACTGAAAATAAAACATGAAGAAAAGGGGATCTGAATGTAATTGAGGAATACAGGTTTTTAGACATAAGAATTTTTCTTTTATGGTATTCACTGGTACACTGTGAATCTTCCAAATAGCAAATTCTCATCTTAATGTGACTGCTTGTGAGGGTAGGCTCAGACCCATATCTTTAAAATATGTCATTTTTAATTTTCAGATTTAGCAGAACAAGAGTATTTTCAGGGGTCAACATCTGATTTGTAAAAAAATTTTGTGGTAGGGTCGACTACCTGTTTTATGACCTTAAAATCCAATTAAATGGGAAGCATTTACTCACATCGGTACAGGGAGTGGGAGGGAAGATGGCAAAGGATTGCCTTCGCAGACACACATTTTAAAAATTTCTCATTCTGATCTTCATCTGTTTAATTCATCTGAATTGTAGGAGCTCTAAGAAATTTACAATTGCATATATTCATAGTATCTGTATAATGAATGGGACTTAATTCTTTCTCTTCCTCCTGTTTAACAGATGAGGACACAGTTGGGTTATGTAGAAAGCTAGGGATAAAACTGAGTTTAGAGTCAATATTTTATTTGTAGTCCAGTAGCTGCAAATTGAGCAGAATTTAGAGGACAACAGGATTTTCATTTTTTGGTTTTAAAGCTTTCAATATTTAAAAATTGCTGGTAAGTCAGTTTGTAACAGCATTCTTTTCATGGGACACCAAGTAGGATAGTGGGCTGCTAAGCTCTCATGCCTCAAAGCTTATTTAACCCATCTCTCTGTTCAGTGATAGTACTTTGGAGACCTGGCCCTCAAGAGCACTCTGGCACTCTGTTACACTTTCTTAGCCACCGTTTCAGAGGCCTGAGCCTGCTTCCTCACGACCGACTTTGGGCCCTTACAGAACTGTGGCTTGTGACAGAAAGCATAGTATTCTTGAACAGTGTAGAACTCATTAAGAATGTTCCTGGCCCAGGTGCGGTGGCTCACGCTTGTAATCCCAGCACTTTGGGAGGCCGAGGCGGGCGGATCATGAGGTCAAGAGATTGAGACCATCCTGGCCAACATGGTGAAACCCCGTCTCTACTAAAAATACAAAAATTAGCTGGGTGTGGTGGTGTGCTCCTGTAGTCCTAGCTACTGTGGAGGCTGAGGCAGGAAAATTGCTTGAACCTGGGAAGCGAAGGTTGCAGTAAGCCAAGATCACACCACTGCACTCCAGCCTGGTGCGTGGCGATGGAGCGAGACTCTGTCTCCAAAAAAAAAGAATATTCCTGCTGTCCTTTTTATCTGAAATGATTCTCAGCCTGTCCCAAGTTACTTGCGTTAAACTTTGGCATCACATCACAAACTCAAGATCTGGAAACGAGCATTGCGTCATTATGCATCATAATTGTCTGGTGCCTCCTCCCTGTGGTTAAAAAACCTGTCACTCCATGAAGCCTCTGGAAAAGTAAGGGAATATACTTGATGGGCGAACATGTTCTAGCCCTCGCAGATTACAAGCTAAATATTTTACTTCATTCTCTACGAGATAGAAACGAAGTAGTTATATGGAGAACTAGAAGTTTTCTCTACAGGTGATGTATTAGTTCGTGGGGGGAGGGAAAGCTGGGAAGGCAGAGTGCCCCCAAATGTCAGTAAAAGGTCAGCTATAGGCTGGGTGCTTTGGGAGGCCGAGGAGGGCAGATCACAAGGTCAGGAGTTTAAGACCAGCCTTGCCAATATGGTGAAACCTGTCTCTACTAAAAATACAATTAGCCAGGTGTAGTGGCAGGTGCCTGTAGTCCCAGCTCCTAGGGAGGCTGAGGCAAGAGAATCGCTTGAACCCAGGAGGTAGAGGTTGCAGTGAGCCAGGATCACACCACTGCTCAGAGACTCCATCTAAAAAAAAGAAAAAGGTCGAATATAACCAATTGGTCATAAATGTTCCTGACACTGCCTTTGGCTGTGGAGGAAGGTAGAACGTAGTTCCTCAGCCAGTTTGATGAGAATTAAGACACTGGTGTTTGTGCCCCCAAGAAGTACTATTTATTTTATCCTGTGTTGTTAAGAGCCAACCACTTCTGTGCTCTTTACATAAGTGAATTTTCAAGCTTTTAAATTTACTCCTAGGTTTCTTTCTTTCTTTCCTTCCTTTTTAAGAGATGGATTTCACCATGTTGGCCAGGCTGGTCTCGAACTCCTAACCTCAGGTGATCCACCAGCCTCGGCCTCCCAAAGTGCTGGGATTACAGGTGTGAGCCACTGTGTCCAGCCCTACTCCTAGGTTTTCTAAAGCAAGTTACACTTGAGCATTAATGCCCAAAGCAGCATGGTGGCCTTTCACTTGAGAAGAAAATGTGGTTAAGCTACTGATGCATAGCCAATATGATGAGGAGCTTATCTTTATACAGTCTGCAGATTTTCAACTGGAAACTGAAGATACTATGTCACATGTTCTCACATCATCCTGGCAGATGCATCCCCAGTTTACATAGCTAAAACGCTTTTAACAGGATTCTACTTCTAACTCATCTCAAACCTTTACCCTTTCTATTTGACATCATGAAGTTTTGTCTAAATACACGTGTAAATGTTAACTTCTAAAGCCTTCAAAACTCTTTGTCTTTAAATTACGTTGAGAATGTCTCCTTTATCCGTTATCAGATGTTATGAGCTTTGGCCACTAGATGGTGCTCCTAGAAAAATACAGCATCTTTAAATTTCTGGGAGAAATCGAGTTGTTTTGGGTTTAACGTATGGTAGTAAGCAGTTGAATACTCGTCTGGTTGCTAAGCCAACTGTGCTGGCTTAGTTACAAGTTCACATTACTTAAGGTACAGGAGGCCTGTGTGTGTGAGAGACTGAGGGAACCTTGGCAAGATAGCCAGGCTTAAGGGGCAGACGGTGACTGGATACCAAGTTTCAGACCAAGAAAAACCAGAACCAGTCTTACAAATCTCAATTAGTGAATTGTGTAGTTCTGCAAAAGGGCCTAGAAATACAGTTGAGAAAGCTTGAATATAGCCAAGTTCCCAAACCTTGCTGCTTTCTGTTTGAGTTGGATTTGGCCAATCATTAGGAGAGAAAAGATGAAGCGCACACGGATTTAGCACAGCTTGCATCAAGGAATTAAATCACGAGCTTTCCCTCACCATATTTAGTGACTTTTATGATGTACTAGTATGTAAGACAAATAGAGACATAACTCTCCCTTGTACCACTTTTTACTTGAAAAGATTTAATAAGGTAACCAAGACCGTCTTATCAGAGAAATTTGAGAACTAGCTTTTTTAGTTCCCAGGAGCTTCTGGAGTTAAGGATGAAATGAGAACCTCATAACTCTTAAAGTATAGCCTTCATAGCAGATCATATGCCAGAATTGTTCACCTTATTGTGTTATACAACAATAAGGTAGCAGAAAGGCAGTTTGAATAGCCCTAGGCCTAGTGAACTGGTCTCTCATTTGTGGAAATAGCTTATTTTGTTAGGCAATAGGACACTCTAGAATGAAGGCCAGCTTTAGGCAAGCAGACACTGAAAAGCGATCGGTGGGGAGCAGAGTCCTTTTTGCTTTTCAGGATATGATCTGTCTTCTGCAAACAGCATAGAAAGGGCTTGCCTTTTCTTTCACCCTCAACATTGCTGTGCTTACGAGTTATTCAAGTTCAATTCATGGTACATGGCTAAATCCCCAGTACCTAACGTAGGCCTGGTGCAGTACATACAATAAAGTATTTGGAAAGAGGGAAGGAGAGGTTGGGGGAAGATGGAAAAAAAAACCACACACACACACAAGGAAAGCGAGAACTGCAGCTCTCCAGAGTTCTAAACACATTGTGCACAGTTAAGCCCAGCTCTTTTGTTTATGTAACAGACAGGGTCTAGGTCTGTTGGCCAGGGTAGAGTGCAGTGGCATCATCCTACCTCACTGCAGCCTTAAACTCCTGGGTTCAAGCAATCCTCCTACCTCAGCCTCCTGAGTAACCAGGACTATAGGCACGCACCAACATACTCAGCTAACTTCAAAAAATTTCTTAGAGATGGAGTCTTGCTGTTTCCTAGGCTGGTTTCAAACTCCATGCCTCAAGTGATCTTTCTGCTGCTGCCTTCCAAAGTGCTGGGATTACAGATTTTGAGCCACCACACCAGGCCAAGCCCAGGTCTTTATGGAATGTTATTCTGCTCCCCGTTCCCCACCCTCAAACACACATATTTATTTGTTCTTTTGTGGGGCAGGGACCAGCAAAATCTTGTAATAGTCTCTGCCTCCCCTGATCTAGGTGCCATAACTTTGGAAGAAACTTCCCACAGTGGACTGAAAGACTGTTCATCTCATATCCCTACAAGTAACTGATCTGAGGCAGATGTGAAATCTTCTTTTGTACCTCATGAGATGTTCCACTGACAACCAAAAGGTCTCATTTATATATAGCTGCTAATCAGGAACAGCAAGATAAGAAAGGGAGATAAGTAGACACCTAGGATCCCAATTAGTCTTCTCAAATTAGCATGTGCAACCTGAGTACAATAGATGATACTGGTAATCTCAGCATTTTGGGCAGCTAAGGTGGGAGGAATGCTTGAGGTCAGGAGTTTGAGACCAGCTTGGGCAACATGAGACCCCATCTCTACAAAGAAAATTAGCCAGGCATAGTTGCTGGTGCCTATAGTCCTACCTACTCAGGAGGCTGAGGTGGGAGGACTGCCTGAACCAAAGAGGTCGAGGCTGCAGTGAGCCATGATTGTGCCCGTGTACTTCGGCCTAAGCAACAGAGTGAGATGCTGCCAAATAAAAAAAAAAGTTACTACCATCAATCCCTTCACCAGCCCTGGGTATGCCAGTTGCTTGCTAGAGACTGAAACACAAAACTAGGTATCTTGGTCTTAAAAATTCAAGCACTAGGAACTCTGAAGTAAGCC